ATTAAGACTTAATTAAGTTTAGTGGGAGCAAGATCCATTCCTTTTCCCTTAAAGAGCTATTACCTTCTAAAAAAATTTCCTCTTACACATTTAACAGAGCCATTATATCCCTGGGAACATGAATTCATCTGCAACACAAAGTCTTTGTGACGTACGTAATTATTCTAAGCCTAAGCCTGAGCTTACATTCCCTTGTATGTCCCTTGGCAACTCAGTCTGTGACCAGAGGCAAATCACTGAGTATTCGTTCAGGCATCCTTATAATGGGTACAAACAATTACCTTGTAACAGGTATTTGGAAGCTTTATCAAACATGTAGGCTGCTTTAACAGACAAAATTATTGTTACAGGCTTGCTCTTGATAGAAAATCTTCTGCTGACTTCACTAGGAATTGGAACAGACCTTTAAGAAGCCTACTGAAAACTAGACTTGAACCATCTAGTGCACAATCTAATTGATTGCAATGGATTTGTAGGGGCTTCTGTAACCACAAGTACTGGTTGTGCAAGCACAGCCCAGAAGCAGAGCTCAAGTAACAGTGAGAAACACCAGCCTTACACTCTCATTCTGTTATTGCCATAAGGCAATTACCAATACAGTTCCTATTTGGTCTCTTGGATAAGCAATGTGATTCCAGTTTGCCCCCCAAATGCAATCTGGTCCCTTAAAAGCGCACTTAAGTCCATTCAACTGGGAATGATTAAACATAAACCGAAAAGAAGCATTACTCATCCTAACATGAATTCGAGAATATGATTCTGGGGCATAGCAAATGAATCTGAAAAATCCCAGATAAAGTGACTGACCTGCTAGAAATGAGGCTGTCAAGTCTTGCATCAACCCTCTTATGGGGCAAATAAATAGCTTTGCAAGAAAATACTTGCTTGAGGTAAAAATACAGCCTTGCTTCTAAGATTTGAAATGCATTAATATTTTGAACTCATCTGTCAGCTTCTAGCTCAAGGCACCAGAACTCTATTAATATTTATTTAATAATATGCGTTTAATATTTTACAAATGCTACTACAAAACCGCAGACAAGGGTAGAAATCTTAGAAGCTAAATAATACACCAGATTAGTGACAAATATAGCTGAATAGAGAAACTAATTCATCAGAGTCAAGAGAGTAATCCTCCAATCAGACACATGTTCTTTGTGGCTTGTTATGGTTTACTGACAGTGGATGCTTCAGATACAGTTTCTAATAGTTGGGGATTTTCTTGCACTCATGTAACACAAATAACTAGATATTTGTCCAGATGATGAGATGACAAAATACCTCCTGGGAGATGACAGTGGGAAAAGTCTCCATTTTGTCACGGTCTAATTCCCATCAGTTCAGCTGAAAACAAACCATTCCAGGATTTCAGAAGACACTGTAGTAGTTTCTTCTTTATAGCAAAAAAGAAATCCTAAATAGGTAGACTTTGCTTCTCAGAAGCATCTCAAATTTGAGACTGAATCTTACCTCCCATCACTGAAGATGGAGCTGCTAAGAAAGCAAATGGAGAACAAGGGTTTGGCTCTGCCCATAAGCACAGAGATAGCAATTTACTTAGTCCTGTAATCACATCATACTGCAGCTGGTCTACTACTACTGCAAGTTTGGCTCACAGTAGATTACATCCTCTGGAACAAAATTAATAACACATGGACACAGGACCATGCTCTACTTAGCGTACTTAGGATAAACAGGTAGCTCAAATGATGCTAGCTCTTGCTGCTGTTTCTATTTAAAACTAACCTTTCCTATTCCTTCAGATGTTTGTCTTACACGCTTATGCATAAAAGTTCACAATGAAATAATTGACTTTCAGTGCCTAAATACTGCAAAGAATGGGCTCAGAAATTCAAGCTATGAAAAAATTCAGGAAATTTCACTAGATATCAGCTCCATCATATTAGAGAATATGATACACAACATCCTACTTCTTACTGAGCCTCAACACCAGGCCAGTTTGGGCACACAGTGTCTGCTTCTCCACCCCTATATGATAATGCATATCAGACAGCAGAAGAGTACATGAATCACAGAATCATAAAATCATAGAATGATTTGGGTTGGAAAGAACCTTAAAATCATCTAGTTCCAACCTCCCTGCCATAGGCAGGGACAGCTTCCACTAAACTACGTTGCTCCAAGGCCTACCCAACCTGGCTTTGAACACTGCCAGGGATGGGGCATTTACCACTTCTTTGGACAACTTGTTCCACTGCCTCACCACCCTCACAGTAAAGAACTTCTTCCTAATACCTAACCTGAACTTCCCCTGTTTAAGTCTGAACCCATTACCCCTTGTCCTATCACTACAGTCCCTGATTAAGAGCTAGATGAAGCTAGAGACTTCCTGAAAAAGGAAAATGACAATGAAAGATGAAACAAGTGAGCAATCAGTAGTCATGGACTGGAGAACACCATTTTAAAATGGAAACATTATTTATTGTACTAACATTGTCATTATAATGTAGGTTTTGTAGAACAATGTCTTTATTAAGTGATTCATTGTAGGCCTCGCAGCTGAAAGCAACACAAGTAATCTAGAAATGACTGTTCAGTGCTGCAGAGGTGAAAACATAGTTCAGCAGCAGAGACAGATCATCTGGCCTGAAATCACGTGCTGATTACAATTTTCTATGTAGCCCTAGTGTTGTGGTTTAAACCCTAGCCAGACAGCTTGTTCACTCACTCCCAGTGAGTGGTGCCGGGCTGAGAGCAATCGAGGTGTCCCCCCCCCGGGGCTCTCCCCTTCCCCGCTCCCGGAGTAACAGGGAGGAGGATCAAAAGGGTGCAACTCCCACGGGTTGAGACAAGAACAGTCCAGCAACCAATGTACAACACAAATCACCACCGCTACCACCAGCAACAACAATGACAAGAGAAAATAACAAGGGAAGAGAATACGATACCACCGGCCAAGAAACGAGTCCCACCCGGAAGCCCGTGTCCTTCTGGGTAACTCCCAGTTACCCCCCACCCCGGGCATGACGTGCTGTGGTATGGAATACCTCCCTGGCTAGCCTGGGTCAGGTGCCCCATCTCTGCTTCCTCCCGGCTTCCCCTCCTCCCTGGCAGAGCATGAGCCTCACTAAATCCTTGGTCAGGGTAAACATCACTTAGCAACAACTGAAAACATCGGTTTCACCAGCACTGTTCCCAGGCCGAAAGTCAAAACACAGCACTGCACCAGCTACCACGAAGGAGAAACATGACTGCTACTGCAGGACACCTAGCTAAAGCAAATGAAAGGCAGCCCCTGAGAGCTGCATCTCTAGGACAAGTGCTTAGGCTGCACCTGAATGACATGGCTGCCTATATGAAAGCACATCTGAAGCAGCCACTTGTATTTTACCAAGACATGGTGTTTAGCCCCAGGTGTGTGCCAGAAGAAGGCAGCTGATGGAAGGAGTTTGCTATTCAAACTAACATCTGTAGAAATAATACTGTGCTTTCCAGAAGCTCTAACATTGCACTGTACATTTATATTCATCCTGGGATATACTGAGAATTGAGAAGAGCTGGTAATAAACTACTGAAAAAACTGTTCATTGTAGCTCCATAATTTGTTTTGATATAGCCAGGGACACAGACCCAAGCCAGGATAAAGTCAGCTAAGGCAGCAGACATTATGCTACCTTGCACACTACAATCTGTTACAGATGAAAGTATTTTATGTAGATCAGGCACTGCTTCCTTGGAGACAGACAAAAAGCCATAAGGAAATCACAGCAGTGTTGGGCCTAATTCCAGTGATCCAGTCTACTCCAAAGTTTCAGTTACACAGAGATTTGTGTCCCTCTGGTCTTGTCTATCAAAGTACTCTTCCCGATCAACTTCTGCAAGGCTAAGTATAGGAAACTACATATCATATATATCATGACACAAAACTAGGTAAGACTCCTCATACTCACAAGGAGACAATGGTTTTGTCAGTTGAATAGGGAAATGAAAAATCAAAGTGACACTAATTTTCAACTCAACGTAACACTGAGCTGCAAAAATCAGGTTTTGGGAACAGAAGGGAGCTATCTAGCTCTCCCAGAGAGGAGGATGGTGTTACTAAAAGAAGCAGCCTTGAATTTCTCCCTCCCTGTCTTGCTGCAATATCACTTTATCTCTGACAGGTGGGAGAACAAGAATTTCAGGAAACCAGAAGTATAAATTAGTATTTTTTGTTACATCTCACAGCTCAGCGGAGAACTCCGTATTTTTTTAATATTTTTTTGTTGTTGTTGCTATTGTACAACAGCATGCTTGTACTCTAGCAATGAAAAAGCACAAAATACAAGCTTCCACTAAGATTTCATAGCAGAGTTCAGGATTTATTTTATAATCACAGATCACAGCATTTTTCATGACCACCTATGTGTCTAAGAATTTCTCCTGTATCAAAACCCTGAAAGATTCTCAAACAGAACAGTGCTGTATTTTCAGAATGGTATTTAGCTGTGAAGAGATACAGAAAGAAGTACACAAATCACACACAACACCACATTATGGTAAACAGATGAATATATGATGGAAAAAGGAAATATGTGCACTTATGCATTTATGAATATCTTAATCCCCCTCCAGAGGAAAGGCGGCATAAATTCCTATATATTCCAGTTTGCTCCATAGTGATTTTCCTATTTTAAATGAGTAATCTAGAAAGGCCTTTTCCATTAAGCTTGTGAGAAACTATCCTCCTTACTGAGTCTGGGATCACAAGTAAGCAATGAAGTTTAGGTATCAACTCTGCAGAACTCTAACACTGTTGCTTGAATGAAAGACTAATAACAAATTCTGTATTTCTATCCTTGTTCCAGATAGTTCTTTAGCTTTTCCTTTTTTTTGCATCCCTCACCCCCAACCAAATACAATTTGTAGCAAAGCTGTGGATCCCTCTGCATCTTTTGTATGCCATAATTCATACATTTTTGACTGTTTTTTCCCCTGCAGTAAGAAGCAAGCTGTATTTTAAGTGTAAGCCACCAGTGTTGTTTGGTTATGTTCCTTACCCTGATCCCCAGCTCTACATTCTCTCCTCCGTATACTTCCATGCCTTCATCCAGTAAGCCAATCTCTTGGAAGTATTCTCTATCTACTATGAAGCATCCAATCAATGCAGGACTTCTGGAAAAATAAACCACCAGCAAACAAAATTAGCAGACAGAATACAAACTATTTTATTATTCAGACATAATCATATCTAAAGGGTATGTTAAGATGGATTCATAGGGTGGTGTTTCTCAAACAGATTTATTCAGCTTTGTTTCCTAATGTTCTTGATTCTATGGGGAAATAGGCACCATTAAAGGAAAACAGAGTCAAAATTACTGGACATACATATTCACCAGGTAGGATTTTAGTGCTAGCAATGCTAGATGCAGGAGCCCCAGCTTTGTTTCTGAGGCACCAGCCATTCTAGTTTTTGTTCCTCCTAAGTCCTCAGGTTTCTTGTCTGTGATAATTAACAAGGATACCCAATGACGCACAGAAGCCAGGTTAATCTCCAGCTAAGAAAATCTGTGTCTGTAAATTTATGTAAAAGAAGATAATTTCTTGAGTAGGAACATCCAAGATAACGTTCTGTAATACAGAATGAAGAAATGTCTGCCCTTACAATCATACTGTAATATCAGTCCATTGTCCTTAACCAAATTTAAACAAGTCATACATCTTTACCAAATCAGTAAGCCCTATTTACGCTATGACCTGAATTAACCAACTTTTACTATGCTGAGCCAATCTTAAGAAGGTAAGAGTAAGAGCTCAGGCACAGAGAGTACAATTTTACTGTTACGAGATGCAGGGGAGGAGAATAGAGTCATTTAGCTTTTGCATTTTTCTCGTACCTTATAATCCACAATAACAAAGATTAAAAATATATTTTCTGATTATTATGCTGGTATCAGGAACCCTTGATAACAACAGGATATTAATTAGCAATACAGGGAAAATCATCCTGCCTTTACTAGGAACATTCAGGCTGCAACTATAGGATGTCTTAATCACAGACTGTACAATTCTAGAGAAATCTATACATTTATGTGTCCTGGGTTCAGCTGTGACAGTTATTTTTCTCCTTCCTCATAGCTGGTGCAGTGCTGGGTTTTCAGCTTTAGTCTGAGAACAGTGCTTATAACACACTGATGCTTATAGTTGTTGCCAAGTAATGCTTACTCTGATCAAGGACTTTTCAAACATTGTGCTATAAATCTGAAGTGCTATAGTACCCACTTTATAGCAATGAAAGACTATTTCTGATGTATTTATTAATGAAGAAAATAGCAGTTACTGTAATTTTGAAAATTATGCTTCCTTTATGACAAAGTACTATTGGTTTTGGTGGGTCTTTTTAAAGTATTTTTCATAATACGTGCTTCCCTTTGTTATAATTCTGGAAGCATTCTGGAAGTAATATAGAAGCCAACAATTAATACATGTAGCTTTTGTGGGTTTTTCTAATTATCCAGCACACACATGCAGTGTGTTGCACTGAATAAAAGGCACCAGGGAAAGGGGTAGGGAACAAACCTAAACATCCAGTATTCATAAAGGACACTCCACAGTCCTCACATAGAACAGAGTTTTAGGGTAAAACGGAAAAGAAGATATGGTCTTTAATACAAGTTAAAAACTTCTAGTTTAAAAAGTCACCATAATTAATATAGAAGGTTTACCTCTCCAGGACTTAGTAGAGTATTTGAAGCATTTTCATAATGTTGACAGAGTTCATTAACACTGACAATTTCTAACGATGTGGAAATTGCCACCATTTTTTACATGTGTCTGTGGCAAACCTGTGAATTTTTATCTCTTACTTTCCAATAAGTCCCGTTTTAACAACCAGCACATGGGTCAGTGTCGTACTGAGTGTTTAAACTTCAGAAAAGAGCTACCTGCCTGAAAAGTCAGAACTACTGGGTTAAAGATACCCCTTACACTGACTGCACAGAAACTGACTGGTAGTGGTGACCCCTTTATGCTGCCACTGCTATTTAAGGCTCTGCTTTGCACCTGGTGAAAACAGTCTTCACACTTGTTTTCTGCAGAGAGCTAGAGTATAGGTACTGGCGACCTCCTTGGTATGAGTGTCTAGGCAGAAGAAAGTCCTGGAATCTCAGCAGAGCTGCTGAGGATTCAGAAGCACTTACTCTCCTCCCCGAGTATTCTGTACCACCCTAACAGTACTCTAAATTATAAGAAATTACAGAGCTAGGTTGTACCAAAGCAAGGATCTAATACAGTCTTTTCTCACACATTATCAGTGGACCAGCATTAACTCCTAGGATATAACACAGCCATAAAACTATGTGACAGTATTATAAAGAATACAACTGTCAGATCAGTTCTATTTATATAATGCACTGTAAGGAAAATTCTGTTTCTGGCCCATTACCACTAAATTAGCAGACAAGACATTTGGAGAAAGCAGCGCTGCTGAGCATTCAAGTCTACCATTTTAGTTAGGCTATGTGTTTTGCCCTATGCAAATAACAAGGAAACATATTTAAAAAGGTCTACTACAAACAGAAGTTTTCTAAATGACTGCGAAGGGCCCAAGGACAAAAGCTCAAGAGGACAGCTCAAGGACATTTAACTAATTTAATGTTACAGTCAGTAAAACCTGTTACATAGCTGAGACCACTCTCCATCTGTTGTATCTAAATGAGCATTGCCAGAGACACTCTAACCTAGGTCACAGTTGCGCATTACCTTATTGGAGCAGTTGTGTTTTCCAGTTTCCACCATGACTTAGGAGGATTCAAGTATCGGCACCACAGCTCCCAGTCAAATCCCTGTGCTGAGAGGGGATACTCCTCTATTTCAAAATTATCATACTTAATATTATCAAATGATGGAGAAATTACTCTTTTTCTGTTTTCTTTTATCCTAGTAAGCACTGGTTCAGCCCTAAAAAAAGGAAAAAGAATGTTAAGATTACATAATTAGAAGCATAGCACTGATTGTCATCACAGAATACTTTGGCCTGGAAGGGACCTTTAAAGGTCATCTAGTCCAATCCCCCAAAGAAAGAGCAGCTGTGTATTTCAGAAGCAGCAAAGTCTACAGCTGTTAGCCATTCAGAGCTCCCTCTGCTTTGAGACTGAGGTTTAACAGTGCAGGATCTGCCCCAAAATAACACACTGCAATATTTTAACTAGGATGCCCTATTATTAACCTTAATGTTAGCTGGTGAATGGAAGAAATTATTATCTGCATATCATAGAGCATTTATACCAAATGATGATAACTTCAGGCTCTCAATATTACCAAGGATATCAAGATCACAGTTAATAATAGATCTATCCTAGGGAGAGAAGCTCCTGCCTTTTCACCATCTTTTTTACTCAATGAGCAACAGAGATATTAAATCCAGACTGCACAAGTTAAAATAGATGTTTTACTTATGTGTTACTTTTGCACAGAGCAGCAACCTTAGTGCCAGAATGACACTTCTTTGTTTACACTGTGGAACATAAAAGAAACATAACATTTTTACTTAAAAAAAAATTAATTCACCCCCATGGGCAAAGGGCTACATTATAGGAGGAGGTTTTTAACATGGAGTTTTCCAATATATTTTACATCCATTGTAATTAGACCAGAAGATAACTCACACTATAAAAATGATCTAGATTATGTTATGCAGCTCAAATACACTTTTCATGCTTATGTCCATGCTTGTGTCTGAATCTTCATTAAAATGAACAGAATGCTAACTCACCCTCTACGTGCAAGAGAAATGCCAGTTAGTAATCTATGAACAGCGCTTGGAAAAGTGGTCAGAAAAATTCAAGGGGAGACATACCATCCTACATTGAATTCCACATGGGCATCAAAGAGAGCAACTACAGGTGCTGTGGCTACTCTCCATCCGCTAACTCGAGATCGAATCAGCCCCTCTTGTTTGCTGTGTCGAACAACCTTGATGAAACCAGGCTTACGGGCATTCACTTCATCAACATACTTCTTTAGCTTCTCCTTGAGTTCTTCTGTGGAAAGGAAAGAATTAGACATCACCAAGCAGTACCAGCAAGACAAGATGTAAAAATGTGTTCTTTCAGCAAAACAGAAGTCTTCACACATGGAATTACTCCCCTTTGATTTAACTACTGAGAATTCTGAAATAGTCAAGTCTAAAAGGAAGCAAACAAAAAGTAGAAGGACCATAAATTATATAGTAATAAAAAATCCCAGGTGTAACTACTTAGCCTACATGATTAACATCAGAATCCTGTGACTGTTTAATATTAACATACCATGAAATAAAGCACTCAATCATAAAGTACCACAGCTTCATAAGTGCGTATTTTGTTACTGCAGCAACAAACAAGATTACTATATTTCCAGAAAAATATGCTCAGCTATTGACCATGAACTTTCTTTGCCAATATTTCAAGGAAAAAGTATGAATAAAATTAATTATTTATCCATTTTCCATTTTTCTTTATAAGTTTGACAACTCTTTTTTACGTCTTCTAAAAGTTCCATGAATTCTGCTCTTCGTATAGCAGAACAAAGACCAGTAAAGTACTGGAGGAGAATCTTTCCTTATTAAAGTCTGATAACTTTTAAATCAACAGCTATCATATCTCTGGTTTAAAGACCATTGCATGAGAAAATCCAATTTGGAGAGCTGAAATAGGCTGCTCACCAGCAGTATTAACTGAAAACACTGTTCACCACTATTCCGTATTAGCATTGCTATATTATATGAATTCCCTTGGTACTATTAAGTCGCCTTTCTTCCAAATCTCTCCGTAAATCCAAAAATTTCTTTGCTGTGATGCACAGTAATGCTCCTGTGGTTACAATGCTAAACTGGATATCATCAAATCTGCATTAAAAGCTCAGTGCTGCCTAGCCCGTTCTGTGAAATCTTCAGCTTCTCCATAATCAATTCCCCATTTCTGTGAAATGGGATCAACACACTTACTTCTTCTTTTTGGTCTATTTAGACTTTAATCTTTAGAGAACAGCAGTTTTCTTTTCCTCTGCATTTTGCCAGTACCTAGTGTCTGGGGGCACTGAGCTGTGGGGGAGCTGCATCAGACAAGGGATGGCACTGGAGCCCAGTGGAGGAAGGAGCAGCACTCAGCAGTAAGCAGTGTGGGAGGGGGTACAACCCCTGTCACACTGCCTGGCCTAGACTGCTTCCCAATAAAACACAGCAGGGTTTTTCTTTTAAATCAGATCAATGAAACTTTGTCTTCTATTGTTTTGCTGGCATTAGCAGTGCAATCTGCTCCTAGCTGCGTGCCAGGGCTGTGTTTTTGCACTGAACCCATGATAAGCCAACCACTCTGGGAACTGGGCAACTCGAAGAGATCAGGGCAACACACAGACTGGAATGGTTAATGCAACAGGGAATTAAAAGCAAGCACACTTTATTGGCCACATGAAATTCTCATCCTTGGAAAAGAGGTGATAGGTCCACTCTTAGGCTGACAAAGAGGAACAGAGCTGTTGGTCTTCTAATCTAAAGATTGTTAGAACCTGTTTGACCTTAGTGGACCTACTTCCTTGAAGATATGAAGGAAAGGACAAGATGGTCAGTACAGAGATTCCTTAAATTCACCCCTCTATACAGACCACCAGGCATGATGTTCTTGCAGCTGATTCCACTAGCACTGCAGGATTGTGCACGCATGCCACATACCTTTGAGTAAATGAAGTCTCAGCACAGAAGAGAGAATACCAAAGTGCTGATACTTACAGTTTTTCATAAAGAACAAGAGTTTCAAAGAAATAATCTGATGACCATGCCCATCACAGCACTTAAACTGCAGCTATACTTTATGAATGGACTCAATATATTCCTAGAATTTTCTACAATATCTATTCAAATTGTTTATCTATGATTGTATCACCTTGAATAAACAACATGACACACTTTCACACAGCACAGAGCACTATTCTACTTTGTATTAGATTTGCTGTGTATTTATCAATATACTTTTTGTTTCTTCTATGAAGTGAAAAAAACTCATACTCAGGTTTTCTATGATGCTTGTGCAAAGCCCATGTTCTTACTGTTCATCCCCTAGCACAGAGATTTGTAGCAAGCACGAAACTATCAACCAAACTACTAGCTAACAGCACTATAGACACGAAAGAATTTATGTTACTGAAATTGTGCCCACCCTAAAAATAGTGCAAAACAGCTCTCTATTCCCAAAATTGAACACTGTGGAAGGTGACTATCAGAACATGAAGATCAAAGCTTTGTTCTCGGTTAAGTGGCTGTTCATTAGCTTTGCAATAGCAGAAAGCTTTATTTGCCACAACAATGCAGCATCACCACTGAGTACAAAATACATAAAAGGAAAGCAGGCTCTAATCAAGGACTTGAAAATCAGTACCCTTGATAGAGTCATTGTTCCCTCAGTCATCTTAATTTTTAGCAAGCAGGCTATTCTTACTCGTGTCATATAATTTTCCTAATGTGGACTGACTTTATAAGCCTGAGTAAACACAAAATCTTTTTCACAGCTAGGTGGAAATAGGTGGAAATGAAATGGAACCCAAATCTTGGCTTGCCACCAGCATGACTTCAGATGCACATTATAGCTCTGACATTTACTAGGCAGTACACACTTCTAATTTCCTGGTTACGCTGCAGCTTTCTGCAAATATTGTGAATGGCCTGAGAGTCTCAAGGGAACCTTGGAGGCTTACCCATGGTCCGTCAGTATGGAGGGATCCATTGCTGAGCTTCAGTATCAGCCTCAGGAGGCAGACGAATGTGCTGCATTTTAACTAAACCTCAATACTGGCCCACAAGCAGTGACAACTAAGTATTTTGCAGTCAGGCATTTTCTGGCCTTTCTTATTTAAAACAGATTAGCCTTGTTTTGCACAGGCAGAGTGCTGAGCAGAGTGTTCTGCACACCCTTTGTCTTACAAAAGCTATTGGGCAGACTCTCCCAGAAGAAAAGTCTACTAAAAAAGACACCATTTTCAGTGAGCCACAGGATACAGCAGACATGTAAATGAAGTGAAAAAAGTCATTATTTGGGGAAGAATATTAAAGATGCCCTAAGCAGGACAGCTTAAGTTAGTTTTTTCCATGTATTCTGTATTTTCCTGAGTTTTGCATGAGAAATCTGAGTTCAATTGCCTTTGACAGTTTTAGAGCATCCTGCCCAGCTGGACTGAATGATGGGATTCTCCCCCTAGAACTGATCATACAGTTTGTGACGGCACTGATGGTCTTCAGCAATGTATTTTTAACCCATACTCTGTTTTTTCCCACTTCAGATATGTTGTCTTGAATAATAAACAGTCTTTTTCATTAGTTATTGTGCTTCGCTGCTTTATGCCACCATAGGGAGAAGAAAGGGAATGAGCAAATGTGTCATCTTCAATACACTGTTGATTCAATTTCTAATTATGGAAACAAACAGGCTTATAAAGATAGATGTGTTTGCCTTTCAGTGCAGAAGCTCTCAAATAAGGACTCAATTTGACTGAGCTGAATGAGTGCCTGCAATTGCAGAGAAAGAGCAGCCATATAAGGAACAGGAACATGGTGATCTGGCGCTTGTCTATGTTGCACTCCACCACCTGTCTCTATATGGTACAGGTGTCTGGAAAGCACAACACAACTCTCCTCAGAAATGTAGAAAGCATAATTAATGTGCCCTAATTATGTTTAATATTAACATAATTAAGTTATAATATTTCTAAGAGATTGTTTTTAAACAACCTCACAAATATTTTGTCAAATTTCCCTATTCATCATGACAAAGCAGTCCTAAATAATTCATGCAACTCTGTGGTCTTAGGAAGTGGCAGAAGCAGGGCAGGATGAAAGCAGGGGGCATAAGGATTCAGAAGGTAACAGCCATCCCACAGCTACAGAGATCGTATGTGAAGGGATCATTCAGGTCATAAGAATCCCTTCACAAGCCATCTCCCTTTCAGGATATGGTCTGAGAGAACGGCAACTTGACATTGGCCCTGGCAACTGTTCTCCTTACAGTGCTGCAGCTTGCTTGGCTTGTGTGAGTGGCCAGTCCTATCTCAGAGGGGCAATCTGGACCACAGTACTGCCTCTTCTTTGAAGGGGTTGCAGCAAGCCAGATAATAAGCGAAAGATTTCTCTCATATGCCCCAGGGAGTTTCTCAAGAGGGAAACCCACCTACACACCATGCTCTTCATCTCGTCACATCCAAGTGGCCTACACTTTGTATGCCTCTACCCTTCCTAAACTGGGAAGTTACCGGGCTAGTTGCTCAATGATATAAGGTGCCTTAGCCCCTTACTCCAGTGTCCTACAGCAGCTGTGAATCTGTCCCCAGACTTCAAATTTTAAAGTTATTGATACAAACAGCGTTGTCATAAATAATAAATTACTGCCTTCCGTTCATAGAGACGTAGCCTAAAGAACAGTCAATTAAGCCTCACTTTCAATAACTTTCATGCATTAATGTACTCCCATTCTCTGTGCTTAAATGAGTCCTCACGTCTCTCAGAACAATTGTACTTGTGAAGTCCGACACTTATGCTTTGCTGAGACAGATGCATTTTACCGAGTTCTAAACACTCTTCTTCTTAGCTTTAATTTTACCAATGGAGCTAAAGTGAAAACTAACTAACTAACTACACTTGTAACTATGCATTTTCTAAAGTCTAAAAATCCCTGCTGAATCTGGTGCAGTAGAATGCACACTGGATGTTATTGCTATCTCTGCAAGCCTTGTGCTTTTACCTTTAGGGAAATATCTATTTCCACGTCAAAGGCCAGGAATTACCACGTCCCTCTTTAACCTTAACACTTTGCACAAATATGTCTTTTTTCACTGTGAAGGGAAAGGAATTATTCTTCAATACAGAATGGGGTTTAATGTAACAGTCGTTCTCCCTGTGCCAAAAATTGTGGACTGACACATTATATGAAAGGGGCAAAATCATGCCAATTCATTTCTTCTATGCTCTAGCTTTGTGTGCTCATTGAGCTGCCTAGAAGGCACACTGGTCCCCAGGTAG